CTCCAACTGAATTGGTGATTCTGGCATGCAGTGGAAATTTGGCTTTCAAGGTAGCCTAGATAATTATCATGAGGGACTCTTACCCGAAAGTCCTGCTAGATGAGATATGAACCACATCTACCCTTCTGTAATGGTTTAGACATGCACTGGAAAGAATTGGATATAAGCTGTTAACCCCAAGGGCTGGGTCGTGGTAACACATTTTGGGCTGAAGATCAGAAGACAGCATTACCTCAGGAAGCCTCTGCTAATGGATTTTAAAAAGGGTGTGAGTAAACCAGACTGGGAGTAGGTGACCAGCAGGATTATAGGCGAGTGCTGTTGACCATTTAACTCAAAAACCAAGAATACAAGCAGCAGTAGTTCCTCAGTTCCTCAGACACATCCGCAGAGATCCCCCATGCTGCAATAGGCTGAGGACAGTAATCCTGAGGTGGGACAGTCACACACAGAGCGAGACAGTGCCCCAGCTCAGGCACCCAAGGACACTGCCCCATTCCTGTGCTCGAGAGTGAGAGGCACACAGGGGCATTGCCTGATGTGTGTCCTGTGTGTGGCAGGACAGATCTCTAGGCTGCTGCACACATTCCCCTCAGAAAGTGAACTGTAAGATTTATGTTGCTCTGTTGACCGGTTCTGCTCTTGCAGTTGCTCCCACACCACTCCCACACTGTAAGGACAAGCCTAAATAATAACTCTACTAGTTTATCTTTTTACCTCCCTATACTTTTTACCTGGAGAGTAAGGAGGATTAAGAAAAGAGAATACAGATGTAGCTTTATGCTTTATATGTTGCCATGCTGACAGAGGGCTCAGGGCTGGAACTGGAACCACCAGCTTATCCTAGCTTAGCATTCAGTGTCATATCCTACACATCTCCACACAGAAGAGAGGACTAAGGGTTCAGTGAAGCTTCTACAACATCTGTTTAATAAAACTAAAAAAACAAAAAAAAATCTTTCTTACATTTTTAGTGACAGGTTGCTTGGAAATTGAAGGGTGACTCAGTTTTCAGGTTTAACTTGGTTTTGTTCTTCAGGTTTACTGAAGCTTCAGAGGTGTGCTGTGCCATTTGAGAGCTCATAAAAATGCAATATTGTGAAAGCTAAAGTGATCTGAATTTTGGAATTTATACTGCAAGAAGAAATTTAGTCTCTTAAAATAGATTTTTTTTGTATGAGGAAATAACAAAGATTCTCCCTTGCTAACTAGTAAGCAATAACAAAATTTCCTCAAACTTACCTTGTTCACAGTTTTTTTCATATTCATTGACTCCCTGCATGAAACAAATGTCTATACTAAGTTTTACATTGTTTATTGCATTATCAAATTGTGATAATAGGTTCCCAGGGATAGAAGTTTTGTCACTTTATGCCATTTTGCATTTTGGGAAGGAGATGGTCGACCTGCCAAATTGTCACTTCCTGTGAATCACTAGTGATGTCTCTTTAGAGTGGGGACCATTTAAAGAGAGTTTTCTACATACAGGTGATACCTCCATTGTGAGTGCATAATAATGGCATTAAAAAAAAAAGTGATTTTTTTTTTTCTGTTTGGTACTGCAAGAACAAGAATATGTGTCCAAATAAAAATGTCTGAATAAGGATTTTGTTATTTTGAAACCCATTTTCTTGCTGGTGATCACACTGAAATGTGGTTGTTACTCTATATACAATTTTTCCATGTCCAGTCTCATTTAACAAGTAAAACAACCTTGTTTATTTTATTTGTAAATTGTTACAGAAGAAATCTCCCACTGTCATCTACAAGTGATAGGAAGTAGTGAATGCAATATATTACTGAAACTTTAAAAGTAATTAGCATCAACACTTTGATCTTTCCACATTACAGTGTAACATTAATATATTAAATCTAAATCTAAATTAAATGTCAATATAACTTTAAATTTAATCAGTATAGGGCTTCATCTTATTTCATTGATAGCTTCTAGTTGTATGAGTAGTAATAGCATTCTGCTGCTCTTCCTTATTAACATAAACAAATTAAATTCATCTTTCAGAAAACAGTCCTATCACTGAGATCATAGAGAAAAGCCAAAAAATTTGTAATGTAATCATACTGGCATCCAAAACAAACTTATTGTTTGAAATTTAAATATTAAAAATACACTTAGGATGCCTTACATATATAATATGGTGTAATCATATTTTGAATATCATGTTGCTATTATACTTGCTTTACTTGGTTGTTGCCTGAGGAAAAAAATGGCAAGTGAATATACATTTGATTTACATAAATATTTTATTAGCTTATGTAAATACTTGCTAAGCTTTTTTCTTAATTGCAGCACAATCTGGTTTTATCATCAACTTCCAAGTCAAATGCCAATAGGAGGGAATCAAAAATATATTGCACAATGAAGCCAATTTAAACAGTTAATCAAGGTGTAGAGGGAAGGTTTCAGAATATGTGTTTTAAAATTCTCACTATTCTTCTCCATTTTGCATTCTCTGTGTTTGACAGGATCTTGCATATTATTTGCTACTTGTAGTGTTTATTATAGTTCATCCAATTGTTAGAAACGGCTTTTTTTTTTGTTTTTTGCTACTGTTCATAATATGAGAAAATTGGATTTTTTTCTGCCTGTCCTTTCAGAATTCAACCAGTTTTAGGATGAATGTTTGGATGAACAAACTTTGATTATTATGGTTCCATCTATTTTTTATTTAAAAAACCCAACCAACCAACCCAAAATCCAAACAGAAGCAAAAAAGCCCCAAACCCCAGGATGTAGGAGTAGGACTGATGGGAATGAACAATACTTCGCTCTGTATGTCAATCTTGAAAATGTAATAGGAGAAATTATCTTTGAAAAGACAAGGAGCAAAGTAGTTCAGATGGTTGGGAAATGCTACAAACAGCATTTTGTTAGCAGAAGCTCTGAATACACCTCAATGGTTATGTGAAGATAACACCTCAGATGTAAAGCAAAATAGAACATAAAACCCCTGAAGCAATTTTTAAGCATGAAGTCCTATTAAATGAATTAGAATCATTCATCTGTGTATAAAACCTATTGTTCTATCTATCACTAAGTCATTTTGCTTTAAGTCAGGGCACACATCTGCCTGGAGATGAACACAGAGCCTCTGATTTAACAACCCCAAAGCAACCAACTCTCAGATATGACTCTGGGTTACACAGATAAGGAGGCTGCTTGCACAATGAGGAGGAGAAAAGAGCTTGGACAAAGAAATATTGCTAAATACAGGTTTGCTCCAGTTCTTTGTGGATTTTTTAAAAGAGGAAACCTTTCAGTTCTGTTTCTTATCTTGAGGCCAAGATTAAAAGAACCCCCTTCCACAAGATCATCAACCTTATCTTCTGCAGTAGTTGTAATTCTACATCAGTCCAGCATAAAACTGTTTCATCTATAGGTCAGCAATCTACATTCTAGACAGTATCAAAGCAGTAGTTATGCAAAATTTTCAAATCATTTCTGTCTTCAGCCCTTAGACCTAGAAATATGACAGCCATGCATGGTCATATAATTTACTCAATTTTTCCAGGTGCCAGTAGTAGGACACATAATACCAAAAGTGTCAGATATACAGATATGCTGACCTGAGAGGGCCACTCAGAAACCACTTGCTGTGAATATGTTCAATTCTTTTTGTGAGTGTTGGGCCCTCTAAACATTCTGAGATAATAAATATACATTTCATATGACTCTTGCCAAAGCCACAAAACTTCAGTCTGAATCAGATTTATAAAAAAATTCCTGTTTCAGTCCACTGGTTATGGAGGATAGTAAAGGAAGCTTAGGAGATACCTGTAAATCCAGGTATTTTGTAAAGAATTTTGTGAGATCCTGAGGCATCTCAGCTGACACAAAGCACTTTTGAGGCTCTTGTGACCATATGATTGAGGAGAACAGCAATGCCAAGAGGTTAATCTTCAAGGGGGCATAAACGAACCCTTCCTGCACAATTGTGTCACCCCTTTCTGACTTTGGTTTCCACAGCAGCCTGCAACTCTTCAGAATCCCACATGTTAATTAGGAAAAAAATCCAGACAATAAACCAAACAAAATCAAAATCTCTCAAAATTTCTTCCCCTTCTTTGAGAGCTTCTGCCATAATTATTTCACTTGAAACGCTCACTACTGCATATAGATTTAGAACATATATATGTTCTACGTGGTTTTCAGTAGAGTGAACAGAAATGCACAAAATTACGTTAAGTGTAGGCACTTCAGTAATTTATGCAGTAAAATAAAACAACCTGTTTTGGGTCCATTTCTTTTCTAGTAATTTGGAATATCTCTGCCATTTTCAAGTGCTCAGAGATGCTTTCAGGGAAGTGTTCACGGTGGCTGAGAAACTTTGTTCCCAGAAGATAATAGTAAATCTTGAGACTGCTGGTGTATAAAGATAGTTTAGGTTGTTAAGATTGGGTTTTCCTCCAGCCCATTACTTTGCATTGCTGACAGCATTACATCCATAATTTTATTGCTAGTCATTCTTTATTGCAATTTTTAGATCTGTCATTCCTGAACATTTTGTATCATCTTACAGACTTTACACTTCACAGCAATTTTCAAACTAATTAAAGGGAATAGGAAGAAAATTAATAAAGCCAGACTTTTCCTACATCTGTTGAATAACAACTGCTTTTTTGGCAATAATTAGTTTGAAAAAAACAATCAGTCGTTGATGCTTTATGAAGTTTCTGCAAGCCTTGCCAATGCAGATGCTTTTTATGGTTGTTGTTTTTCCTTCTCTTTATAAGAGGAGGTAATTGTAGGTCAAAGTGTCCACACAAGAACCATGTAACACAGATGTGGCCTTACTTAAAGGTCTCATTTCCGTGTCTCTAGATTCTTACAGGAATTTAGCTGTACTCAGACTCTCATAAGGAGTTATTTAGGGCCCAGTGAGGTAATATAACCTCATTCTGTGTACACTCTGCTTTTATTGCTTAACATGCACAATTCCATCAAATATATTCTAAGATTTCCAAAGGATTTCCAAAGCAATGTTATTTTAGTATTTATTTCACTTGTTATTCCATGAGTTTATCTGGTGAAGAAGATAAGCACAAGCAACTTTCAAGAGCATATTAGAGGCCTTTTATTTTTATTTATAAATTATAACATTAATATTTATGGATAGTGACAACTTCATTACTATAAACATACACTTCTTCCTACTGGTACTAGTGAGGTGGCTTAATCCAAAATGAAGCACATGTTTTTTTTCCCCAAAAGTAAGAGAACACACAAAAAAAGCTCTGTATTCTGTGCCCGAAGTAATACATGCTGTAAAGGAACATTTGCAATATGTTGGAATTAATATTAGAAAAATTGAATCACATAGGCACTCAGTATACATAAAAGTTTAAAAGAAAGCAGAAAAAAGTAATTTCATAAGTTAAATTTGTGGCCCCTGAGATTGGATACAGTGTCTGCAAAATTAAAATGAATTAAATCAACCTTGGGATAAATACTGCTTCCATTTAAACTCAGCTATAAAAATTTTTGTGTGCTCAGAGAATGATCTTAAGAAAAAGTCAACCATATTCTGTGTTGTCAGAGGTACAGTTTGAGAAATCAAGAGAGTAAATTGAAAGATCTTTTGTTCACAGCTTTGGTGAATATCCAATAGTAAAATTGTCCTCTGCAAACAGTTATGTAGTATGATTTTTGTTTGCTAGTGAAATCCTACTAAGAAAAGTAGCTTTTTAATTGTCAGATATCTTTAGCTTCCCAAAGGATCAAATATTTTAGATTATTTTCTTTCAGAGATTTAGGAGATCCTAAAATACCTTTGAAATCCAAATTAAGTGATTTTATGAGTCATCATGGGTCTTCATGCTTGCTTTAATTCATGGTGATCATCAGCTGACACACAGAATAATGAGACACACAGGAGAAAAAAAATATTTTAAAAAAATTATACCATCTGTATTTGAATGTACTCCCACCATATGGAAATAATGAAATACATATCCTAAGTAGGAAACTGGATGGCATTTATTAAGAAAATATATTTTAAAATCATCAAGTGCAAAGAACCTGCACCAAAGTTAAGCAAAATACATATTTTTAAAAACTGGGTTGTTTTATTTTTTACAAATTGAGATACATTTAATTTAAAAGCGAATTCTACTTATCCCCTTTTTGGCCAAAATAACCATTTAAAACCATTCAGAAACACTTCTTCTTAAGGCTGATAATCTCAAAATACTATGGCATGTTCTTTTGGTCAGCCTCAGATGCAAAGCATATTCCTTTCTTTCTGAGGTTGGTTTGTGAAATCCTAAATATTATTCCCCTTCCTAGAAAAAACACATATATTCTAATTATCAACTTCTATTTAATCTAATACGTGAGTCAATGTCTGCTTAGTCCCTTTATCAAATAAAGAAAAAGATAAGAAACCATTTCACTGCTGGAGTTTAATGATACATTTGTCCTTCCTATTGTCTTAAAACTGTCTTGATGTAAGATTTGGACTCATGGGTTGTTCTCACATTCAACCAGAAAAGCTAATCCTCCCTTAAACTTCTTCCAAACTATCTTTCACCTACTATGGGTCAGACCTCTCCCTCCCTAAGTTTCTCATCCTCTCTTTCATTTTCCTTTCCACCTTTCCCACTTTCTTCAGCTGCTTCTTTTAAAGATATCTTTGGTGATTCTAATATTTTTTAATTGCCTTTTTTGATCTGATGTCTTGACTCCAGAGTCTGCATATTGTCTGGGAGGTCTACGCCCTTAAAGAATCCTGAAGGAGACAGCCCATTATTCAAAATGCCAATGTAATGCCCTACTTTTTCATGAAGCAATTTACTTGTGGGCCTCTACATTCAGATATTCTGAAACTAGAGAAGAAATATGAAAAATGTTGATATTCACTAAAATAAAATTTGTTTATCAATATTTGTACTACAAACACAAATACTATTTACACTATTTAAGCCGCTGCTTATTAGAATACAGTACTTTTACGGTATTACCTAAAAAATGCCTATCCCTTCTGGCTGTTAATTTTGACCTTCTCTATTACCTTTCTGTCAAAAACACTTTCTGACACACTGATGGCAGTAGATAGTGAGGTTACTGCCTGCTCATTGCCTCCAAAATCCATGTTCATTGAGATCAATACATTTTTGTCAAACAATACTGATGAATGCTGTACTATTTTTATATTGTGTCCATAATCAAGAGCCAGAGTATGCCTGAACTGGAAAATATATTGCTTTCTTTACCCTCCCTTCTCTGAATGCTTTTAGAAGATTGAAAATTCTCTTCAAATAAAGAAAAAAAGCTTCAGGGATGCTTTAATCTGTTTCCACAGATAATGGCTGACATGAAATTGCTGTGCCAGACGGTATCACAGGAAAAAATTTATAAGCAGTAAAGCAATATCCCAAGGAATCCAAGACTGCACGTTATTAGCATATAAATTACACAAATGAAGTAAACATGCTATTTTTGGGTCTAAGAAAACCTTCTGTTCTGAGTACTGTCACATTTAAAATTAAATTGAACAAAAAGATCATCTTCAAGATCAATACTGTTTTTGGTACCTTATGTAATAAAAAACAAAGGAAACTTAACCAGTGAAAAATTAAATATTTTCAAGTGCCTTCATATAGTAATGGACTGGGCTTTCTGGGTATATGCAATATGCAGTCTTAAATTATTTATGTATGTCAAACTGTAGCAATAAGCTATTTATTTAGGAAAAAAAAAAAAGCCCTTCATTTCGAAGGGTGGATGAGACAGTTAAAAATGGGTTCAGTTCAGAAGTCCATGAAGAAAATGACACCTCTTCAATACACCCTTCACAGAATGATGGCTGAAACATCTGTTTCTCTGCAGATTTTCTTTAGAGAAGATAGAAGATATTTCATCTAACCAGAAATATAAAAAACCAAAGGATCCTAGGAAGGCCAAAACTATCTTTTTTACATACCTAAAGGAGAATTCAAGATGGAACTAAATCTTAAACTAAATGCAAAAATAGGTGGTACTTGATTAAAGCTATTTGATTTTAGGTCACTTTATTCAATTCTCACTGAGTACAACTGAGTATATGATAATTTATGGAGAGGTTAGGGAATGGGTTAGGTGTTATATATTATTCTTTCCATCTGTCTTTCCAGATAGTCTCACGTGTCTAGATCTGACTCTTTCCCTTGGTAGGTCTGACAGAAAAGAATCTGCTTTTATAAACAACATTAGTAAGATAAATTCTACTCTGCTGCCTCCAGAGTTTTCTCAGAATTGCATAGCAAAGTATTTCCCAGTGTCACAAAATTCTTTCTGCATTCTGAGCCCTCGAGTGAGCACATCAAATCAATAATTGCTAAAGCATATGCTTAATTAGGCTAAAAAGCATATGCATTTTGGAACTGCTGCATGAATTCTTTAAAAAATTGTTTAGTGATTTTTTAGAGTACTGCCTCCCTCCTGTGTCTTCCCCACCCTGTTTTCTGAGGCTTTTTAAAATTAATCCATGCACCTAAGTTTAAATATATTCATTATTTTGATCGTAGCTTTTTTTTTCTCTGCATTAAGGATAGAGTCAGCTATTTTTGCTCAATGTTTTTATATCCCTTGATACAACAGTAGATGAAAAGTTCTGAGTTCTGGACTTCAAATCCATTACTGTAGGTTCCAAAAGAAATAAAGAGAGCATGTAGGGATTATCAAGTTGCCATATTTTCCAAAATAAGAAGAAGTTATCAATGTAAATCAATAAATTCTGAACACCAAAAGGAAGTGGATCCTCTAACAAAGTTTTCATGGACTGGTTCTATTCTGGCTTCAGAATTTTCCAAATGTTTCCGAATACTGAGGAAAAAAAAATATAGGTTAGTCATATTTATGAACATATACCAAAAATTACCTCACAGAAATGATTGTAGAAGCACTACTCCTAAAATATGATCTGAATTATGTAGGTTGGTGTGTTTTCATTCCTTTGTCTCAGGGTCTGAAAATCACAGAAACAAATCTGAGTTTCTCTCTAATTCTATATTATATTTGTATGTAAGGGAGAATTAATCTTCATATGACCTGTATCATATCACGTCAGTTTTTTTTCTAGGGTATATATCGTATTTTGTGGATTCTAAGATTAAGAACTTCATATTCTGTTTCTTACAGCAACTACTGTCTTAAGACTGCCATTATAATTATTTGCTGTTGACTTGTGACATAAAGCTTACAGTTATCACATCTTTACTTCTCAGGCTCAGTGCTGTCTGCTGGGGAATACAGAGTGGAATAGGCCATGCACTGCTTATCAGCTTATCAATCTTCAGGTTGTGGTTGACTGAATGTTTTATCTGTTCATACAGGGTTTTTAGTGAAACTGACTCTTTCTAGTTTGTGATCCTTCTACCATACTGAAACAAATGTCTTTATGAATTTATTAAAGCAACAGATGACCCTGCTTTTGCTCTCTCAGTCCGGCTTGTGGTCTGCCCTGGAGGTTGGATTTGCTGAATCCTCACTGTGTCTCTGCAGGTTTTCCCCTGATTGTTCCTCAAGTAATTGCATCATGTCTTGCAACAAAATACACTTATATTGATAGAGAAAACTTGGTTCTCCCTATTGCTCTGAAATCCATTACCAATGAACTGTCCACTAGCAACAATTTCATAAAAGGCAATAAACTCATCGCTGGTAATTAAACTCTGAGAGCAATGAGGAATGTTCTGATTATATGTATTATATGTTTATGTCTTCAGGTTACATTTGAACTTCAAATATGTGTACTGATAAAAATGAAGTTGTATACCAAGACAGTTTCAGATGGGGATCTTTAAAGTCAATAATGGGAGTTATTGACTTTTATATTTTTCTGTTGAATCTACTTTGAATTTAGCCCTGATTTTAGCCATGTTTTGGGTCAGCTGGTCTTGAGAGCCCTTTTCCAGGTTAAAAAAAAAAAAAAATCAGTGTTCTCCTTATAGAGCTTCTGGGCAAGAGTGTCATGAATCACCATTGTAAATAAAGCATGAGAGATGACATAAACTGTCTTCCACTATTCATGGCAGACTGGTGAGAGTGAAAATATCTCCAGCAAAAACTATTGATAACAATAAGTGTATACACTGTAGACAACCTCAATTTTTAATTTGTTCAGGGCTTTACACAGACCCATTTTTTCCTTTGGAAAACTTTCTTGTCAAATGTGAAGTGGTTCTGACTGAGTGGTCTTGTGAATAGGCTTACTCACTTGATTCTTCATGTTAAACTATTTTCTAACATCTGAAAAAAAAGTCTAGTTTGGTATTTTGTGCCTTGGAGGAACTAAATTGTAACAGCTCTCAAGAAAGGACAGAGAGTCTTTGAAGATGATAGAACAATAAATTATAATCATAATTGATATTCCACTCTCCACTGACTAAAAAAAGTGGAACATAAGGAATTTCACAGAGTGTGGTGCAACTGAAACCAGGAAATCTGTTTAATGAAGCAGCAGTCTAAGTAGAACTGGACAAAATGGCTTTTGACTGAAAATGTCAATTCATCAAGTACCAAGTACTTTTAGAAACTTTTAACTTTCTGAAGGAAACTTATTTGGGAAAGTCCTTTTTGCAGAAACCACAACAATAACATAAAATAAAGATATATATATCTGTCTTTTTCTCATATTCTCTTTTCTATATAAGTTTAAAATGTTCTTAAAATCCAATAAGCACTACATACTAGTTTGAACATGCCTTCAATTATGACTGTAGGATGAATTAAAATGAAAACCTCTTTCATCAACCAAGGAAAGAAAATTGAATGCAGTAATTCATTTTAAATAATCCCCTCTCATAAAGACTACATATAAAACCATAAGATGTGACTGTCACACAATCAATTTACCCATCCATGTAAAAACATTAGCTTCAAAAGTTAATTCCTTTTTTCCTTCGATAGGAAGAAAATCGAAATTTGATCTCCTAAATTTCATTTCCCTAAACCCAGCTGCCTCTAATCCTGAAACATATTAGACTTGGCTTTGCTCGTAAGCACCACACACAATGCAGACACAATGGCAATATGTTTGCACTGCAATTAGGGTTTTTTGCAGTATCATTATAGGATTTGAGTAAAACATTGGAACATTTATTGGTCAAATATTTTGATTTAGCCAAAATGAAAGAAAGATGGAGACCATATTAAAATCTTTGGAAGTGTCTAAAACCTTGTTTTTCTTTAATTTCGCATAATTGTGGACTTTTCTTTCTTATCTGAAGCACTAATTACCCTACTGCTGATTACTCATGGTATCTCCCTCATTGTCAACATTTATATGTAGAATAAACTTGGAACATTGCTTGTAGAAACATGTGGAAAAAATCCCATCCCTAGTCTTTCCTGATTATTGAAAAGATTTTTTTTGTTGCCTTTATGTCTTTGGAATTTATTACTATGCATGTGCTGCAGCCAATGTGAAGCTCTGCCATTTTTCTTAGATGGTATCAGACCAGAATTTTCTGAGATGTTCACCCTATCATCATATGTCTTCTGTTTACCTGTTGCATCTGGGTAGAAAAATCTCTAAAGGTGAGGTTGTTTTCAGATCTGGACACTAATTCCTACATTCTCCTTATCAGTAAGCAATCTATGCACTGATTCTGCATATGCTTCTCTCACTTGCTTTATTAAGATTGACTTTTCTGTACAGAAGCATTGATTTTCAACGGAAAACATCAGAACATTCTAATTTCCATTTGAAATTGTATTAACATGGTTTTCCTAACTTTATTTAACTAATATGTATAATCACTTCCAAATAAAAGTAATGATGTGTGGAATTACCCCATGAAAACTTAGAATAGCACTGTTTCCTTAATAAGTAGGCTTTTATCTTTCCAACTTAAAAAAAAAATATAGAAAAGACAACATTAATGAAACATCTGTTCTTGGACAGTTTCAATGGTTCTTTTTAGTTCTTGGACAATTTCAGTTCTTCTTTTCTTCTACATTGTGCCAAGCAAAGTTGTCTTTCACACAGGAAGCTCAACCAAGTGCTGTGCTTATTTTCACAAAAGAGGTAAATCAATACAAAGACCATTTTCTTCACAGGAATTATATTGATTTTTACCAATTGAGGATCTAGATCAGTGAAAATATGTGTTGATTACTGGTTGTCCTCAGTGCTCTCCATTCGTGACCTCTCTTTCAAACTTGCGTATAGCTGATATTCTCTGTGATTTAGTAATACAAAAGGTATAAATTAACCAGGATATCTTGACATTTATTCTCAGTCCAAAAATTACACCTAGCTCTGCCAATATTAATAGTTAGGAGAAGATTCAAGATTAAATCACTTCAAATATTTTTTTTTAGTAGAATCGCCACAAGGTAACTTTAAAAGAAGTAGTCATTCACCTGCAGTTTAAGATTAAGATTAAGATTATTAAAATCTCCATCTAGTTTTGCTGCTCAGTTATGCTTTAATATATGCTAAGTGATTGAAACAAACACACACAACATATTCGTGTTAAATGTCATTTATATCTTTTAACTGATTTGCTAAATATGCCACATAAGTGTAAATATTTCCTCTTAAATTATAGTGGAAAATTTCAAAAAGAACATCTACTTTACAATTCACATATTTCTTCGGAAGTGTAAATGGGGGAGAAAAGCCTATTCAAGCAGAAGGAAATGGCATGGAAATATGATGCCTCATGGTTGACAGACAATACAATTTTTTTTCCCTTCTACACTTTGATACAATTGAAATTGAATTTGTAGATGGCAACCTCCCTTACAAAACATAAGTACTTATGTTGCTATTTTAATATCAAACATACTTCATTGTCTTGGTGATATAGAAGTGATCACCAAGAAAAGCAATTTCAACTTTATTTGGTTTCTATCCTTAATGTAAAAAATAAAGCAGTTGTGTCTTTGGAGCAACGTTCAATAAAAGAGTGGTGGGATGACCTTGGCTAGTTGCCAGATGCCCACTGAACTTTAATTGATTTAATTAATTGTTTTCAACTAATAACTGCTGGAGTCACAGACAAAAGGGATGAATTCTCTTCCATCTCCTCCATCAAGTCTCTACCCAAATGTTCTAAAATATTTTTGGGTGTATATCTATTCCTCTATTTCTTTCTTCATGGATGCCCATATACTTATACTCTCTTTTTGTCAACAAGTCAGATGCTTAAGATCCTACTAACCTTTCAGAAAATAACTGATCCTGAATTTAAATTTTGTTATGTGCAAAAAGACATGGCTCACGGTTTCGCTTTTTTGTTGCAACCCTCAGACACTCAGTAGATCAGAACACATCCCTCTTCCTTACCATTCAAAAAATATTCCTGTTTGGTTTTTTTTCTGGCTTCATTCTCCTTGAAAAAACTGTTGCCTTCCATATCAATGGGTCACATGAATGAACCATGTGCAACTAAGTTAAGAAATAGATTAAATATTTGTAATCATATATTAATTATTTGCAATCAAATATTTAAAATATACCAAATATTTGTAATTTGTGTAAAATTTATTCCTGTTTTTTTCCATGACTTTTTGCTTTAGAATTCATACATCTGAAATCTTAAGTTGATTTGATCCACTGTTTTCCCTGTTGTGTTTGTTTTGTGAGCTGATTATTAGCAACCACCCACACAATCCAGGCTATAGTTTATACATCTGTGGGTGCTACATGATGGCTGCTGCCTAACTAGTGAAAGGTTCTCCTGAAGGTTCTCACTGAGTTTTACTGACCAAGACCATTCCTTCCTTGCTTCTCTTCGTGGTGTTCATCTCCACACAACAATCTTTCTTCTTTTTCCCAAAAGCTATTCGGGAGAAAAGAATTTTTATTTTCTCTGCATGTATTTCTACTTTCTTCTTTGAAATAGTATTTTATTTAGTTTGTGTGGATAAAGTGTTTTCTTTTCCAAGAAGGTGGTATTCTTTCTCTGAATTTTGAATGAGAAAATTAATATCTTCTTATCAGGGTGTTAAGCACAATAGCTTTGAGATTTAACGTTCCATAATCCAGTCTGAAAAGAAAGAAAAAAAAAAAAAAAAAAGATTTTAATAGAATTTGGTTGAAATACAAAAAGTCTCATAAGTTTGTATCTGCACATTTCCATATATTTAAAGCATGAAAAGATTTTTTTTTTTCCACAGAGTACTTGTCTGTTTTTTAGTATATCATTCAAGTACCCTCATAACTACATGTAGAAGTCTTATCATGTGAATACATCAAATATTTTATACCAACAAAAAAAGCACATAAGAAAGAGATCTTCAGTAGCATATAAAATAAGATAAATTTAAGTCAATGCAAATACCAGAAAATAACATGATTTGGAATACATAAATAAATTAAATAGTGCCATCATATATACTGCTAAGGCTTTCTATATATTAACTAATATATTCACATGTCTGTCAGCTCCTAACTTGCTTTAAGAAATATATGGGATCATCTCGGACAGTAGGCTATGATTAATAAATTGTGATAATTCAAGTTATATTAGGACAAAGTTTCTTGAAATCACTTATCAAGAACATTAATTTGCAAAGCAGCAAATAAAGTAGAAAAGGTTTTTCAAAAATATCATCAAATAAAAGGAAAGCCTTTAAATTTGTGGAATATTAGTCTTTGACATAAATTTGATTAGAGAATTCAAGACAATAATTCCTTTAATATTGAAAAATTACAGTATGTGTTGATTAAATTATACTGTTTTTCATTACACAATTTTTCATTTGTCTTCAGCTCCCCAATAAATTTAAGCAGATTAGGAAATCAATACATAATATAAATTTCTTTAAAGATCACTTAATGAATCTGAGAAGCTGCTCCTATACTAGCATATCATTATATTACAGCTCCAAATCCTTAGTCAAAACCTGAATTAGAGAACTGAGGAAATAAATGTGAGTAAAATTATTTTTATGCATTCTTCTTAAGGAAAGCACCCATAAACCTAAAATAATTGCTCTTTTTCGTTGGTGTCTGGTGAGTGAAGTTATTTTTAAAAGTTAGCTTAAGCTTGAATATAAAGTGATAATTTAAAATTTACCCTTTGATATTTTAATATTAATCCATTTTAAAGAAAAATACTATTGCAATTCAAAAAGATGATGACAGGAAATATTTGTCTATTTGTTCTGAAAATTCACACAGTTAAGGACAGGTATTTAATAGTAGCAGGCTTTTCTAAATTGCAAAGGCAAAAATTTCTGAAATAGTCTATATTAAGTCATAGAGAATTATAATATTTTGTTTTATGTTTTTAACGAGTATATGGAATTGAGATTTTAATGATGTCCTCAATAAAGTTCTCCAAGCTGTCCATAGGAAAAAAATAGCTTTAAAAAGAATTTATATGTGCTAGGGTAATTCCAACAGATTTTTAACTTATTGAACTTTTATTGCATTTTCTAATTTTTAAAATAATGTATCTTTGTGTGAGCAGGGAAATGATGAAACATTTATTGAAATAATTGTTCTAGAATACACTTTCTCAATAATTTGATATCTGAATTTTTGTTTCCTCTGTAACTCTGTTGCTCTGCTGAAAAGATGTAAAAACAGAGATTTTTTTTTTTTCTTAATATAAAATTTCTTTATTTTAGGGGGGTTTTGCCTCCTTATGAAAGAGAGTTCTGAAAGAAACTATAAAATCAATGAAGACTGGTCTCAAACAGAGAATATCTGTCTACTGGGCAAAGGTCAAAGAAAAAAGTGGGCCCTGTGTATGGGTGAATATTCCCAGAGATCAAAGATAGCTCCTAAGAGGATGAATCTTAAGTATCTGAGCACATTGATTTTCCTACAATACTTAGAATAGATCCTAAACTGCTTGGGAGGCTAAGTCTAATTTTTAACTCTTCAGCATTAAATCACTTGGTCCACACTAAATGAGCTACTTGAAGTGATACGTAGCAAAGGCACAAAGCAATGAGAAGACACTGAAGAATCTTTTCTGGAATATTCTAGTGTTATTAAAAATTACATTAATGATATTAATGCCTAAAAATAGAGATTGCTTATCTATTTGCAGAACATACAAATAGTAAAAATCTGAGAGTATAACAGGGAAGAGGGTTATATTTAAATTTAAATTATAAACAAAATAAATGTTTGGATAAAAAGCCTTGTTTGGTAAGAGCAAATAAATTTTTTTCTTAATGTTGTAGGAATAATCTACAGATAGAAGATATAGAAAGACAAGCAAGTCTATTGTTTTGTGTAAAAACATCTATAAGGGATAGACTGCGAACTGCACAGGAGTCAATTGCACCACACAACCTTGAGAAAGGCAGACCCCATCTCAATACATAGAAACAGTTCTGTCTTACAGTTCTGTAGTCTGTCTGCAATCATCCTTTGCTGCTTGGGCAGAAAAGGCATCCAGTGTCAAGCTTTTGTAGCTCCCAGCATTTTGTGCAACTGAAGAAATTCACAGAAAGTAGAAATAATGATGGCATTAGCCATGAGGAAATGTTGAGATAATTCAGTTTGCTTATATTTGAGAACAAAAATCTCAGGGATGATCTTACAATTAATTACAAATTTTAAAAATGTCATTTTATAATATAAGCAGAAAGAAAACAAAAAGAGCAACAGACAAGGAAGGCAATTAAAGCGATAGATATCTACACTAAACTTCTGAAAGCAAAAGGTAAGTAGCTCTGGGACACACTGCTTTGGGAAAAAAAAAAAGTAAATCTTCTGGAACAGATTGGGCAAATGAGATTTATCCTGTTGTTCCTGGGTTTATAATTGTGAGTGGAACACTGAGCCTCCTGGTACCTCTTCCAGGTCTGCACACTTTGACTGCTTCTCCATGTTTTGTAGATGTCTCTGAAAGGAAATTTATTTTCCTGTGACTACACCACACCAAGCTCTGTTTAAAAAAAAAAAAAAAAAAAAGAGAGAAATTTGTAGCTGGAATAAATTAAAACACTTTTCTAGAAGCAACCAAAACTCTCTGATGAAATCATATCTCACACAAACAGGACTGATGTAAAGGTGGATGTGTAGAGTATTTTAGCAATTTTGATCTAATGAAAATCTGGTTAAGTCCCATTCGACTGTTAAATTTTTCCATTTCCTGTCCGAAGGGAAAGAAATTTTTATCCTTAACACAGAATACTTTTAATATTATTACATTTGAAATATCTGTAGATGATTACACTCCCTAAACAGACAAACCTTTATTTATTCCACCCTTTCCAGCAAAATTAAGGAAATGTAATACATATTTACTACTTTCTATTCTGCCCATGTTTGCATATGATTTTGAGTTTAAGATTTAATCACTATCCAAAAGAATTTGAATTTAGGAATCTACAAATTCAGATGATCAGCAATGAAATACATGCTCTCAATTCCAGGGAGGAATTCACATGTGAGAAAAGGTTGTTATTAACCAGTAAGCTGCTATTTTCAGTTAATCATCTAATAGATGCCACATATATAACATTATATAAGTATTATTATTATATTGCAATAAATATAAATAATTATTATATATTATCTTAAATTCTTAGGTTATGTGGGGTCTTACACTACAATAGAAAACATTATGGGCTGAATTTCACCTGCAAGCAAATTCTAAGGAAACAAATGAGATAAGATGATTTATTTTTACTTCAGAAGTCTGCAGTGTACAGAATGGTTAACTGAAGGATAACTACAAAACTTCTTTTATAGCCCTCAGAGAGAGATGGACACTCTCTCACTCTTCAGGTAGATGAGTTAAACCACTCTTGAAGAATATATTTCTCTCTGTGGTCTTCCAGAGGGATGTAGGGTAGTTGAAGAGATTCTGATGCTCAGTTTCTAACAATGTAAGGTAGGGTGAAATAAATCACTGTGTCTTGTCTATATCCTGGAAAATAATTTGATCCATGGTGGTTGCATTAAAATTAATTTAAAAAGAAAGATCTAGACTTTTTTTTGAATAGGTCAGTGATTCCCTATAAAGCTGAAACTAACTAATACTAATATACAAATTCCTAGTGTTATTATCACACACACACATAAAAAAATATTCTTCCCATCTTTCAATTAAAACATACTTTCTTGATAATTTTGTGAGTACCACTTACAGCCATTTTAATAAAGGTTGTCTTCCTCATCTAATCTGAAGAATGTTTTGGTTTAATACTTATTCAGCTCCCTGACACAGCAGCAATGCAGTTTCTATACTGAATCAAATGTACTGGAATTTAAAAGCTGGAATCCCTAAAGTCATTTTGTCTAGAAAAGGTCTGGGATGAGAAAAAAATAAAACTAAACTTGTTCTTATTAAGGAATAAGAGGTAGGAAAGGAAAGAGAATAAAGCTGAAAATATGCTTCAGAGAGGGTCTCATCTGTTCTTCTCCCTGAGATCACCTATCTTTTTTGCATGATGGTCTTAACATAGTGCCTTCCAATGTCCCTATTACATGGTTCTTTTTAAGACTTATCTGTTTGCTTAAGTGATTAAATTGGAGTTTAAGCAGTTTTGAAATACAGTTATGGAGTATTAAATAATTATGGAAACATTCCTATTAATAAGAAGGAGAAGGAAAAAGAAGTAAAAAAAGTAAGTCTAAAATTATGTGTGGTCTTTCATTCATACTCAGTCCAAGAATGTACTCTGTGTGCAACCTATCTACAGTATGCATGTGACAAAAATCTCTATCATGAGTGTAAAGAAAAGTATGCTGGAATTTTTCCTATGTTTTTTTCATACATGTATATCATCCAAAAATGTGGTAACAGTATGGGGCTTCAAGCTAATGTTAAGGCAAAGAATAAGCAAAGTGCAATGCTAAAATTAGCATAAGAATTAAGCATTTGTATTGTTGTAGAGGAAACCAGATTTTTTTTCATCATGTGTGTGTCTTTCCCAACTGGAAAAATATGATTTTTACCCTAAACTGAAACTCGGGACAAAGCTTTAATATAATGGAAGAAGTCTTGTCTTTTATTTTAAATCCTGACAGTGCCAAGAAACCACAACACTGAAGCATATTCAAATATCTTTCTAGTTTTTAAGTAAAAAAAAATAACCTTAATTAAGGAAAATGTCCAGTTCCTGCACCCTGAGACACTTTTGAATAAATTGGATGTGAAAACCCATCAGTTCTGCCTACCTTATTTTAGATATTTCACACTCGCTGATTTTTTTGCCTTAAACTCTAAAATCCAAGTGAACACAAGGAGCATCACAGAAGAACAGATTCTCCTTCCTAAATAGTTCTGTTTAAAATATGTTCATCTTTCTTCAGAATGAATCATATTCAGGAAAGTCTGGCCTCCTGCTGTCTTTTTTTAATTTCTCAGGGGGTCTTTATACATAGAGGTAATAAAGAAGGGAGAAGGTTTTAAATTCAGAAAAGAAGAAACTATCTTATCTTCATCTGTTGAAGAAGTGAAAAATCTAAGCCAACTGCACTAGAGGACTTACTTTCCATTTCAGATTTGCAATGAAAATTAAGAAGAAATGTTATATTTCTTAAAAGTAATGAGAGGGAATATATTTTGATATTTATGTACAATTTCACTTATCAGAAAAATATCCTGAAAATCATTTTAATGTTTCTCCTTTAACAAAATGCAGAAAGGCTATATTTTTAGCTCAATTTTTTCTGCTCTGTCCATGTATTCAAATAATGCAAATCAGAATATTTCACAAAAGGATATAAAATATCATTGTGAAAGCTTCTACTGGCTGAAAGAAGACTTTTATAGTAACCAAAAACGTAGTCCTTTCTTCTCATTTTGCCAAAGAGTAATTTTCTTCTCTAAAGACAGCCTTTTGTGTCATCAGGATGTCCTAAGACTTATTTGAACATTGTAAGTTTTATTGTGCTATTTTGATTTCCTACTGTTATATTTTTGCTTTTGATAGTCTCTCATGGTCTGCTTTGTCACTTTCTTTGTGACTGTTTTTGAGATGATTACTTAGATGTGAATATTTCTTGAGTCTCCTTCATAAAAAAATAGCTTCATTGTTTTTTGGCTTATCAGATTGTCTTTCCTTGGAATTTTACTATCAGTATTACATATGGACCAAACCATGGACAGTAATAAACAAACTCATGTGTCCAGTGGCTTTTTTCAGTAAGCAAAACACTTTTTAAATGATGAGGTTTTGACTGTTTCTTGGCTGGTCACAATGACTTATATTTATTTCCAAATATCCACTCTTTTATTTCTGTGGATTTTTTACATCATGAGCATATTCCATGAAATTATTCTGTTTCAAGTCACTTTTTTCAATAGTTCTGAAACTGATGTCTCAAGCTTTTGATTAAATTTTAATCATCACTTTAATATGTTTTAGTATCTCTTGACATGGAATATGGTGGCCTGTACTATTTAAAACAGTCGTCAGTATCTATTGCTTTCACTTTTCGATGTAATTTACAATCAGGTAGGCCGCTGGCTTTCAGACTAAAGGCTAGGATGGTAAGTTTAGTTGTTTAGTCGTAACTCATACTTTTTGCTGTAGGTATAATTAAAAAAAAAGGAGATATCTTACATTGTTACATCTTAATTAAAATGAATCAGAGGAAAATATCAGTCACAAATCAAACCTGCCTCATACTAGAATTCCTGTGAGATTTCTAAGACAGGAAATGAAGTATTATTCTCAGGAGTTAGTTAGTGTACTGGAATGGAGATCATTTGATATTCTCTTTATTGATCTAGGCAGCAGTAAAAAGTCGACTTCAATTACAGTTTTTAACTACAACTAAATCATAACATGTGAAACACACACACAAATCCACAAATGCAAAATAGGATAGATAACATATGGCAAATGATCTGGAAACAGATACTTGTATTTAAGAAAATGCAATGAATTTTTGCTTGATAAATCTTAATCCTGAAGATTGGAGAAAAGATTCAACAACATGAGTGAAGAGGAGAGTAAAACTTTGGAAAATGGAAAGTTACAAGAAAAAGGAATGTATCAGTCATAACAAACTAAAGATTGGTATTGAAAACGCATTTATAATCTGAATGCAGAATTGATATTAATCAATGAAGTATTGCATTTTATACAGTCTTGCTGCAAAATTATTTGAAAAAATATATGAAGTTGCCATTATTTTAATATAGTCTAAAACTAAACCAAATTAAGCAAAAGGAAAAACTACATCAAAGAATAGACAAAGTTATGCAAGAAAGGGAATAACAAAGACGGCATTAAAAGCTATGTAGACTTCTTTATATCCCAGGAAATAAAAAAATCACTAGAGGCTTAATTACCCATCTGTCTCATCCTTCTCTCTTAAGTACTGAGATATCAAACATTACTGTATCTAAGGACCATGTAAGCCTCTATTATAGTCTATCAGAACTTTCAAAAAAAGTCTTAACAAAATAAAAAATGCCCGGAGGCATTTCCTGGCACTGTTTTGTGTAAATCTAAAAGAGGTTGTTTCCT